AAATTTAAGGAATGGTGATAGATCATTGTCTTCATGTAGCATCCGGAAATCCAGTGCTGAATCACTGCACAAAGTATTCAAAGCATCATGCGATGAATTTAGTTTACTGAGCTATAAAGCAGTGAAAACGCTAGCTCAGTGGTCCATTGTAGCCCAGCAGAGAGTGAACGGCTGTCAGTTCCTCTTACCCTGATGACAGCTCCCCCTCTCCCCCAGTCTGCCTGAGTGTGGGGGGGGCAGAACTCCAGGTAGCGACCTCATTAGTAGATAAAAGGGACCTTTCCTTTGACCCCTGACCCAGAGGTTGCTATGGAGTCAGCCAGTCCGGGATGGGCCTGGAGCATGCTGGGAGGATGGCTCGGTGGGGCGGAATGCGCCGGGCCTTCTGGGAGGTTTAATAACCTCGCCTCGCTCGCCCATTACGCACGGCCACGGAGACTTTGTGTTTGTTAAAATGGAAAAGATGAGTAATATTCCCTCCATCCATTTCCTCCACCTCTTCCGATTCAGGGGCGCGGTGGAGCCGGAGCCTATCCTGGCAGGCTACACCCTGGGCAGGCGGACACAGGCACACCAGGGAGAGCTTTTCCAGAAGCCAGCGTGTCTTTGGACTGTGGGAGGAAACTGGAGGAACATACGAACACAGCTGTGATAGCACCCCACGATTCGAACTCTCTTGTGCTACAGGGTGGCAGGATACAGACACTGTCCCAGGGAGCTAAGTGTCACCCCCAAGGCACACGACAGACCAGGACAACACGGAGACAAAACATGTTTCATTGCTCACTCTCACCACTCCTTTTCATCGTCTGTATCCTCAGTTCTATTGATTTTAAAGCCCCGAAGTCAGTGAGGGCCAGTGTGTCTGCAGGCTCTTGGCCTGAAGGTCCCATTGCGCCAGAAATGCGATGATTGAGGTCGTTAGGAGGTGAGTTGAACTGGACACCTGCAGACACAGTGCTCTAGAGCTGTCCCACATCCTTACTGCTGGGCTGGTCTCGTCTAGGTCTGGACCCAGGCCTCATGGAAACGTTGCAGAGTTCAGTGGCTGAGATGGGAGAAAATGTCCAGGAAGTGACAATATCACTGCCACTCCACCAAGACGGTTGGTGTGGAACTGAAAAACCACCCAGTGGGGCTTGCAACACAGCACCTGAGTCATGCTGCTAATATGTGCATGATAAGTGTGTGAGAGAGAGGCTATTCAGAGTGGATTAGGCGTAGCTCGCCTGGCTCAGGGAACTGGCAGCCTCACTGTTGGGGCGTTGCTGCTCAGAGCCCCCGAAATCCCCAAAACTCTGATC